CAGGTTCAAGAACCACCACCATGTTCAGAACCTGAGGTTGTGGTTGAAGCCAAGGTTCAAGAACCACCACATTCAGAACCTGATGTTCCGGTTGAAGCCAAGGTTGAAGAACCACCACATTCGCCAGATCAACAACATCATCAACCAACTGTGACACAGCCAGACGAGCCAACACATGCCAATATCAAAGAAGTTGCTGCTATTCCAGAAGCCAAAGCTACTAGCAGTACTGACAGTACATTGAACCAATCAGACAAGCCAGACCAGCAGCCTCAGCAAACAACAGCTTGTACTACGCAAGACTCGCACGACACCTCCAGTCAATTTGGGTCGCCAACGCTACTTGTCTAAATATTACTGAAATAACTCATTGCTTTTTTTGGTTTGTTCACACACGCACAATACGACTATACATAATCAAACTATATTTTGTTAGTTGTAAGTTGTAAGTTGTTGTATGTAACGGATGTAGCGTTTGATGTATGTATGTATGTATGTATGTATGTATGTATGTTGTGTGACTCAAGACACCAACTAGTGACTGGGCCTAAGGCATCATCAACAATCAGCAGACCAAGCCACTCAGAGCCAGAATGAATTCAACATGTATCTTCCAGTGGTAAGTGATTTTGCAGATGCGAACAGAGCTTCAACCTCATTCAGTTATATTTTGTTCTATATTTTATTTAAATATAACACAAAGTAAATATAGTGTTTGAGTTGTTCATTGGCTCTGTGTCAGGATGGCCTGATCACTTCTTGGATGTCTACACAGGCTTACCAGAAGAGCAGCAGCTCCCTATCACCTATGACCAACATCACACCGAGGATGAGTTTGATTTGGGCCGCGCGGATCCTGGTGATAGCAAGACAATCGCTCTTCTGAAATCATTGAAGCACCGGATGGAGTGTATGACATATTCAACAGCATTCTCTGGTATAGACAGTCCAGGAACAGCATTTGCTCAATTACGTGCTGCAGTCAACCATGCGTTGGACGCCAAATCGAAGATTCATCCTGAGCATATACATGCAATAGATCCCAAGCAATACCTTTAACTCTAGTTTGCTTTTGCTTTTCTATATTTTGTAAGATTGATTGAAATGTTTGTTTGGATATTGTGTTTTGATATTTTGCTAAGGCTAAGGCTAGCAAAACCAACACTTATCATAAGGCTTGTCATATATGTTAAATGTTGATGTTGATATTATTTAATTAGCTATTATGTTTATTCAATCGATCAGCTCAACCAAGGAATGGAATGCTGCGGCCAGCTATGAGTGTGAAAGTCATCCACATCGCCCTACATGCATCTTTCAAAACATTTCACATTTCTTTACACCAGCAATCCGAGTGAAGCTAGACGACTTCAGAAATGGAAGCATGCTGGAGTCCAAGCTGATGCCAATGGTTATTTCCGGAGTGGCAGTGCAAACGATACTTGGCTGAGTTGCGCTCAAACTGTGATATATTATGTTGTGTTGTGATAGATTATATGTTGTGAGTTCAATTCAATTTACCATTAGCTCATTTGCAAATATAATACATCCTCAAGCTGCAGCTGGCTGGGCTGAGCTGGTGGTTGTTTTGTTTCTGACATTATTTGACATCAAACTTAGACAAAACATATTGCTTATGTTCCAAGTAAAACTGATGCTTAGCTCAAGATATATTAAACATATGTTTGTTTGTTATGTTTATGTTATGTGTTGTTATGTCATGGTGTTGCCATTTTCTCAGGATTGGTCAGTGCAAAAGGCATGGCAACCGTTGTGATCTCGCAGACAACATTGCGCAACTGCACATAGCAGGGACTCCGTGCACTGCATACAGCACTATGGGGTTGCTGGATGGAGAAGATGCAATGAGCTTTGCACATTTTCTGTGCTGGGCCGGACTGCGCGCCAAACTTCAGGAACCATTGATAATCCAAGAGTGCACGGCAGGATTTCCACAAGATGTGTTCGTGTCACTTCTTCCAATGTATGACTGGATGGCAGAGGTTGTAAGCCCAGACAGCTTTGGCTGGCCTGTGCGGCGACCAAGACAATGGGTTGTGTCGCTTGTTTGTTCTGGTTGGTTTTTGTGTTGGTTGTATTGTGTTTGTTTTTGGATATAGTTTCACCAATGAACGTTTGTTTGGATTATTGATCATTTGTTGAAATATTTTTTTGTTTAATATAATTAGTTATATTATGTTATTTGTTTATGTTGTTTAGTTTAGTTTCAGCTAAGGGGACGTCACAAGACAAAGACGCTGGGCTGGAGAAGCTTGCTCAACATGTTCACACCGTTGTTCTTCAGGCGTTTTCATACTGACTGGACAATGTTCTTCTGGGAGCGTCTTAGCTTTGCAGTTTGAACAAACCTGTATTTTATGTTTATATTATATTACAATTCAAAGTCTACCATACTAAGGTTTTATAATTGACATGCAAGATAATTTGTAAAGATCATTGGGCAGTTTATCTATTATTTTGATTGTTCCACAAACTCCATGGTTATGATGATCAAATGATCATAACTTTAAACAAACGACACACATACACTCAAGTATTGTCCAACAATGACTCTACTGCTTGGGTTGACTGTCATCTCAGGGACAATGCACATGCACTACAGAAAGAACTTGAATGGGCATGTGCACGCACTGGCAGCATGTGGAACCTCGACGACACGAATACATTTCCAAATCTTGAGGATGAAGATGCTTTTGAAGCTTGTCTCACAAAGTGGGAGCTAGAGTGCTACACGGACTATGTCAAGCAGTTTCCAGATTCAGTGTACTCGCTCACACAGAATCCAAACACACGGCCCACCTACGCCAAGGGAAAGGTGGGGTTCATTGCTGAAGTCAAACATATTTGACACTGTGACATTTGACAAGACTCTGACTCTTGAGCTATACAAGGAATGGATTAGTCAATATAAAATAGATAGTCTATAGTATATGGTAAGACAAGACGTTATGATATGTTATATTTGAAGTACTGAGGGCATATGATATTATATGTTGAACATTAAGAACCTAATGAAGATATGTTTGTAACAAACATTGTGAAGTGTTTTGAAAAGTTTGCAACTGTATTCACCCCTGAGTTGCTGATGACGCTCACAGCTTCCACAAATCTCCTGATGAGCCATGTGCACCGACGCTGGATGACTCACCTGGAGCAGCTGACAGTGCAAGGATTTCCGGTGACCACACACCACACACATGGGCATGCGTGCAGCTCATTTGCTTTGAGATGGGCTCAACAGTATCAAGGGTTTCATTCAAACCCGTGGCCATCACGAAATGCTATGAGACAGCAAAGCGGCAATTCAATGCATGTGACATGCAGTGGAGTGATTCTGCTTTTTATGTTCACTCAAACTGTTTTTGATGAAAATTTGTTGTCATTGCATAAGTTCAGGATTCAGAGAGCCTTGGCTTTGCAAAAGCCCATTCAGCTAGGCCAGCCAACACGACCTTTACCTGGCAGTGGCAGTTCCAGCGGCGCAAAGCGCCATCGAATCATCTAGTTAATTAGAACTGAGACTCAGCACAGCACAGGTGCCTTGGTTGGTTGTGAGTTTTTTAGTCAAGGACATTGAATAGAATCATAACATGTATCTAAATCAAATCATTCAATTGTTTTTTAGCATTTGATGGTTGCTCCGGTTGCTCCTACGACGGTTACAATATATATATATATACATCATCATGTCATATCAGTCATGATATGGTTTTGCTTTGTGACAGCCGGCATCTGTACATGTACATGGGAGAAAGACATTGAATCCAATGTCATGTCAGGCAGTGATCGTGAGGACAAACCAACATATCACTTTCTTTCTTCACGGACCGCCAACTTCACCGCTTGCATCGCCTATAAATTATGACACTAGAATCACTAGGACTAGAACCTTAGAAAAAATCAATGTTATCGGTCCTAAACGCCCCAGGACTGACAGAAGACTGAAGATTAAAGACAATTGTTCAAACATCACTTTCAGTGGCACATCTTTTGGTGTGGTGGGTGACCGGCAACCATATCTTTTGTCTTTTGTTCAACCAGTCAGTCTTCCAAGGCAAACACGTGTCAGCGGCCTCCTGCCCTGACATGGCTTGCGGCCAAAGCATGGCTTGGAAACGGGTCAGGGCTCCTGGTGCTGGCACACCAGAGGCATCACAGTATTTATTATAACAATAACCCATGTGACCCATGTGAGGTTTGAAGGTTTGCTGTTTGCACACTATGCATGCTGCATGTATTCATTTCAGATTGATATTGCGGTATTGATTGAGTTCACTTCTCAAAACAAAAGTCTTGTGTCCTGTGACTTGTGGCATTTTGAGATCAACCGACGAACCTGATTCATTGCCGGTGTAGACATAGATTGGCCGCTCCGTTTGACACTCACGTGGCCGCAATGACGACGACAGCCACTGTCAGACCTACAGCCAAAGACGGTGTTGACATCTACCGTCATGATGCTAGCCTGAGCGACTTGTTTGGAGACCTCAAGGGGCGTGTGTTGCTAGAGGCAATCTGGAACACGTATCAGGCCAGGCGGTGTTGAACTGGGTGTCAAACATAATTTGCAATAGTTATTTACTACTAAGTATATTCGCTTGTGTGAACAATGACACTTTGACAATCACTGTGTCATAACCAGTGGTATTTGGCAACAACAATTCTTGTCTAGTTTAATTGTGTGTTTCATGATGTCAACTGATCAATGAATCAAACACTATTAAAAAACAACTTGGGGTTTGCTCTGTGAGCCAATATGCTTCAACTTCAAATAGAGAAACCCTTCTGTTTCAACCATTGACCATTGACCAGGTGGGCAATGAGAAAACACGGATCAAGTTTTACCAAGATGCTGCACCATCGTCTCTCCTTTCCACCCGTGCTGGATATGTGGGTATGCCAAAAAACATTATGCGGCATCCGTTGAACAACAGAGTTCAAAATGGTGTGAAGGAGTGCTACAAGCAAAGTTGCAGGCTTAGGGGCATCGTCGAGGGCGTGCGAGGGGAAGCTTGGCTGTGTGAGCCAGGTGTTGACCCGAAGACAGGCGACAGATCTGGACCTTACACGGCCCTGAGTTTTGCCAGTTTGGTTGAATCATTTTTCAGTGCGCTGGAGGATGACCCATCAAACCCAAACTTGCAGTGCACACTACACAGAGGATTGGAGTGCCGGATCATCCACCACCGAGTCCCGCCCAGTGTGGCAAAGTACCTCATCCATCTCCACAATAGGTTTCATTCTGGATCCAGCACATCGTTTTGTGAGCTTGTCAATCTGATACCCGATGTCTCTTGGCTTAACATTTTGGCTTGACCAAACTAAACCCAAACCAAGTAATGTAATGTTTAGCATCATCACTTGGTGACAAAACCAATAACATATATAGGGACAACTACAAAACAACACATGTATTTAGCCTGATACCGATCCCTAGACAATATAACACATGGTCACATGGTCACGTGATCAATCAAACAACAAACCTTTGCAACAACAAACATAGCATATACTTTTGCAACTGTTGTGACTGTTGTGATGTGATTGTATCATTGTATGACTCAGTGCGGTCGGCGGTCAGGTGGAGTCAGCTCTTCAGGCTTACAAGCTGCACGCCGGAATCAAGTGGACACAGAAGGACTATGAAACCAAGTGTCACTAGATATTTGATATGTTCAATTTTCTATGTGGTTTCATGATGTTATATGTAATCATTATCATTCAAACAAACAAACAAAATACACAATGATTGGCTGTAATTAATAATAATTAGTAATTGTGAACAGCGTGCTGCTATGTTTTTTTATTTCCACAGATGAGTTGAACATAGTCATATGGTCATTAGAGTCAGAGAGTCACACACTGCTTTCAGTGGCTGTGGTCAGTGGGGACATGGTTGTTGAAAGCTAATCTCAATCTCAGGTTCTGAGTATATCCGCACCCACCCAGAGTTTGGAGAAACCTTTTCTTCGTGGGTGTTGTTTGAGTCAGCTCGTGGCTGCTACAATGCGTTTGAGAAGAAGTGGCAAATGCTGAGCGGTTCAACAGGTGTCATTCAACAGCTTGGGGAGAGCGTTGACTTTCTGAATCCTCGCATTTGCAATTCCTCGGTGCTGCAGTGCATTTTGCATGCCGTGAACTCTGTCACTGCTGCTCTCTATGATGGGGTTTCACAGGATGACATGAAGGTCCTGCTGCTGGAGGTCACCAAATTGTGTGTAGTGTGGAGATATATATTAGCAACACTTTTGTTTGGTAGATTTACTGTATTGACTGTGACGATGTGTGATGATGATGATGGTTGATGTAATTAAACAGTTTGTGTGATGTGTTTGTTTATTTTAGGCTTTAAGATTGACACCACAACTTTCAGGCTTTTGGTCTACATTATACTTTTCATTTGTATGTGTTCATGTTACATTTTTTTGTTTCTTTGAAATAATTCATCACCCGGTACAAGGTACCTTTGCTTGAAGACAACGCTGATGCCAACTGGGTGATCGACTCAACATCAAAGAAGACCAAGATCAACAACGTGTTGACCCCAATGAGTGGGAGTGTGGTAACCACCGGTGACGCCAAGAAGAAGAAGGCCAGTGGTAGTGCAAAAGCGAGGGGCAAGGCAAAAGCAAAAGCAAAAGCTCAAGCTGGTAACAACAATACACCAGCGGTTCCCCAATTGCCAGATGAGGATCACGTACATGAGTCCACTGTGGCTTGCTCAGTGGGCGTGCGGCAGAAGTTGTGGCTGGATGACATGCTTGCGTGTGTCAACCACGTGTGCACCAGTGTGGCTACCATGGGTGTGGAGGCTGTCCACATCACGTCATTGAAGGCTCAGTTGATCAGAACCGCTCTCCTGTTTGCCATCAAGGGTAGCATCGTGCTTGAGACAGCCAAGGCTACACGGACTCATCGAAAGTGGTCAACGTGCAGACCTGCTCTCAAGGAACACGCGATGATGTTGCTGATCCAGGCCCGTTTTTTTATGTTGCCAAACCTCTAAACAACACATAAATGAATATCTCATTGATTAAATTACATTTAATTTGTTTTAATAAGTTTAGCAGGCTATACTCAACTCAACTTCTAGTTCTAGAAGAAAAGATGTTTATTTACAACAATTTTAACTTCTGACCCTTAAAGTAAAAATACTAAAGTACAACTATATAAACACAATATATGAGTATGAGTATATGAGTATATGAGCATTTAGTATTTGAACCTTGAATGATATATTGAGCAAGCAATGATATGATATGTTTTAGATGTATTGAGTATGATGATGATGACCATCAGTCATCCAGTCATCAGTCAGTCATTTGTCATTGACCCATTGACTCACGCTTTCATCAGGTCATGAAAGCCAAGCTTGATGATGCTATGAAGCAAGATGCTTCTGCTGGTTCCGCAGCGGGATTGCAGCAGCTGGAAGCAGCAGTGTCCAGCTACAACGAAGGCCTTTACTTGGACAAAACTACATCCGTTGCAGACAAGCTGGACAAGTGGAGTGGGGAAGTGTGCAGCTGGCTGGCGTCAGAGCCTTCTGGCGTTGTGAACACAGAAGTGTTTGCAGGTCACTGCTCATGCAAGCTTTGGGAAGCTCAAGGCAGCTGTCTTCAACAACGCATGCACTTGTGGCGGAGCTGGATCTCCAGGTGCTCCCTCATGTCTTTTGCATTGTGAATCACCTCAGCTGATGGATCTTCTGTACGAAGTGTTGCGTGTGGTGCATGGCACCTTTGGTGACAACTTCATTTGCTTTGCAAACCTTTTTCTGGATGAAACTTTACGAGGACATTGGGCACGGGACATGTGTTTGATGTGTCTGAGTCTGAGGTTTTGGTTGTTTGAGATCTCAAGATTGTTGTTTAAGCAAACCTCGACTCACTAGCCTCAAGCCTCCAAGAAATTCAATCTTAATGCATATATGATATGGAGCCATTGGCCCACGGGGAGCCCAATAATCAGGTGACAAATGAGTTTTTAAGCTGATATATATGTATAATGTTAGTTTTTAAGATATTGATATTATTGTTTATTGTCGAGCCAACCTGTCCAGAGGATGGCAAATTCCAGATGCAATCTCACACATGAACCTGAACATCAAGTCAGCTGATGCATTGTTGAAGGTCAGGGCAATGTATATCATCCAGCTCATTGCTACGATTGCAGGATCAACGGCGACCTGCTTGGCTCCTTTGTTCAGGCATTTCAGCGTGGCCAAGACTTTGGCAAATCTTGCTCTGCTGGATTCTTGTTTGATGTCATATGAAAGTCTGACAGCAGCTTGGGGAGCGGCGCTGAACGATCTTCTTTTGACTGGTTCATTTGATCCAGCAGCAGTTCTTGAATCTTGCAACGTGACCCTAGTAACAGGTCAGGCTCATGTTGCAGGCCTGAAGGCAAAGGATGGAGCAACTGGTGGAGCAGCTGCTACTGGTGCTGATGGTGAGGCCACAGATCCATCTGTTTTCAGCTGGCATGCCCTTATCACCTTTGGCTTTGATGGTTCGCTGACTGCAGAACAGCTCCGGTTGATTGAGCTGCAAGTTGAAGCATTTGTGCTTCGCCGCTCCATCGAGAACAACAGCAAGTGGAACAAACGCTTGGTTGTGCATGTGCCAGAAGAGTCAGCTAGCACCACAAAGAAGGTCACCGCTTGTGAAGTATTGTTGGAGTTTGACCCAAATGAAGATAGCGACAAGGTCTTGTCCTATGTCGCATCCAGCGAGAGGAAAATGTTCAAGCTCCCCAGTGACTTGAAGCTCTACTTCACTGGCTCCATTGGTGGCTTGACTCAACAGCTGTGTTTTTTGATTTTAATTTTGATGTTGGTCTTGGTGAACATGATCATGATCAATGATAATGAGTTTCAAGAGATTGCATTTGTTGGAAGATAGCCGATAGCTAAACAATTTCACACCACATCTGACATCAAGTGTAGTTTTATTCAGGTGACTACATTGTGGAAGCTGTCGAGAACACTCAGAAAGCCCGAGGAGCTTCCACAAGAGGACCACAGAAGCCGGTTACATCCCTGCCTTTGCTTCTCAGGCAGTCTCAAGCGGACAGCGAAGGGAAATTGCATACTTTCTGTATTGGATTCTCGCCTTAGACAATAAAGGTTTTGAAGTTTAGAATTTTCAATCTTTCACTTCCATCGCATGTGTGACTCAACCACTCAGCTATGGATCAAACGGTCAACTCAACTTTACACAATAATATAAGAACATACAAAAATATACATACATGTTATTTAATCATTGAAACATCAGGAGATGGGCTGAAGTTTGGCTTGGACGGCACTTCTGTGACGGGTTTGGAGGTCCCGTTACCATGTGCAGCTTGGATGGTGACGCCGGTGTCAGACAACTCCAAGCGAGCTTCCATGGAGTATGCTGTGGAGACTCATTCATTTGAGTGTATGATGGGGGACGGCAAGACGATCACTGTGGAAGTTGAGCTACCACTGATCAAAGTTGTTGATGGGGCATTGGCCTTCGTGAATGAGATCAATGGTTCCTCCTACGCAGTGCTGAAGCGTGGCCTTCTGTTACTTGCATGGTGTTTAGTAAGCAAGTTTATGTAAATATTTATCAGATGATGTGTGACTGTGTGACATATGATTGCATATCTCTTTCGGTAATCAGTGATATGTTTTCAGTCAATTAATAAATCACATATTTAGTGCAATCATATATTTTATTATTGTATATTGTATACCTTCTTTTGCAGGCCTGGCGAGAAGTTCAAGGCCCCTGTGTCCAAGAAGCGCAAGGCCGATGATGCAATGCCTGCTGAAGAGCAAGCTGGCCAGTCAGGCCCATCTTTCAACCCGGCCACAAAGAATGAGTGCCGTGCATCCCGAGGTGCAGTTGGTTGCGTTTCCTCACAGATCGGCCGTGTGTCTCCATCTGATGCGCATGCACCGTTGATGTTGAAGACTCCTAAGGAGGCAAGTCATTTGGTACGTTAGATAGAGTGCTTGGGGTCTGTTTTGGACATAATGGCAGCCACAGCCACGGAACATGCTATCTTGTGTGTAGTGTTTCTGGATATTTGTTTCCCTTTGATCTTTTTCCACGAATCGCTGTGCGCTTTGTGTCCAAACAGTGGTCACCAAACGACCAAAGACTAGTAGACATAGGCCATAGAGGCAGACTAGATAGGAATCGACGACGGGCATGCAGGCATGACAGAGTTTAGGTTCACTTTTAGTTTTGTTTGGCAAGACGGCAAGAATGAGCCTCAGCCAGTTGCCCCAGAGTCCAGCGCAAAGCGCCAGGAACTTACCTAGAATCGTAGAATAGACACTGTGAAACAGATACAGTGCGTGCAAAAGAATGATATGATCACATTGTCTGCGTTAGTGTTAAGTTGTTGATGTAGTTTTGTGATAGGACTGATAGCACTGAGAGCTTTCACATATCACAGTTAGACAGTTAGATGCTGATGCTGGCTGATCATCGCACATATAGTGAGACGCCCTACACCGCCCCACATCGCATCACCCCACTACATCACAATGTCACTCAATCAACTTGGTCCGAGGTCATGCGACCTGCATGGACGATGATGTTTGGCAAGTTGGGATGAAAAAGCACGTGTGTGTGCAAGCTGCTGCATGCAGAATTTGGTGTGTTCTGGAGTTGTGAACTCTTTGTAGACCAGACATGTTAGTATTTACTGTTCCTGCCTGTATACAAGCTTATATATACTAGTAATCTACTACTGGCTCAACAGTATCCCAAGGGATGCTCATATACTGCTCCCTTGGTGGGGGTGGTTTGCTTCAAGATCTTGAGTGATTTGGACGTCCTTAGTAGTTGGCTTGCCGGTTGCCCTCAGGGCCGGCGCGTCCACTCTGCTTGGCTGGATGCTTTCCTATCCAGTCAGCAGAGTTGGGGTGGGCGTAGCTGCTGCTTGCTGTTGCTTGGGCCTCCAAACTTAGGTGCTGACC